GGGCATACGTTTTATCCTCGATGGTAGTTGCTGAATAATCCCATGTTGGTGTCAATAAATCGTATATGGATGACAGAGAATCATCCTCTACATTCTTAAAAAGCTCTTCTTGGATTTTCTCCCCAATACCAATTAATGATAGTGCACCGTTCGATACACAAATATCACTAAGAGCTGGTTGGGTATCCTCGAATATAACTTGTAACTCGCTCATATTTTTTTTCATCTTTTTATTTCAACTTCAAACTCTTTCTTTAGGTTTTGGATTTATACTAAAAATTTAAAAAAAAAACCTCAAAACCTATTGATCCTCGAAAACGGAAAACAGGTACTTGTGTTTGAATGTATTGGTATCATCAATACATGTACATGAGTAAACGCATGAAAACCACCCAAATTTTCCACACATTTTTCCGGTTAATGAATCGGGAATCAGAAGACTCGAAAGAAAAGATAACGCTTAGAGCCTACAGTAGGAAGTAAATAGGCAATCGGCTGATTTCTTGCGTCATATCCGTGTATTCATGTATATGTTGGTGAGAACGTAAACCCACAATCCAATATACACCCATATATATATATACTCCTAAATAAAAAAAAAAATATTGACTTTTCATCCGACTCTGACATAAATATGTCCCCTGCAAGAAAGTGATAAAAAGGGATCGCAGCAGGTCAATTGGTTCCTTTTTTTTTCACTTTTCTACGAAAAGGTTTTTCTTAAGCTTAAGCTCTCAATTCTTAAGCTCAGGAAAACAATGAGGAGAAGGCAGAAGGCAATGAATAAGGCGTGCTACTTTTGCAAAGCGAAAACTAACTCGATATATAAATTTAATAAACATTAAATTTGTGTAAACTTTTTTTAAACCGACCACAAACCGAGGGCATGCGAAGGAAGAAATTGTTTGCAAATGTGACAAAAACTATCATACCTTGTTACATCTAAGAACTGCAAACTTTCACGATCCATCGTGCCACAGCAAACCTATACCGCTGCAAAGGTAGCAGTACAAGCAGATAGCGTACAGCCAGCAAAGTTTTGAACCCTGTTGAGTTCAAGATCGGAGATCAATTTGATCACCGAACGACAAGCATCAATGATGCCAAACTTCGAATCGACAAAATATTACTCCCACACGGCTTCATGCTTCGAAAATGGTACTACAATTATGCAGATCAGACCTAAGAAAGAGCGACTTGAAACTAGGTGAGACACTGGACCGGTACATTGTCAAAACTGTTGTGACAATAAAGCGAAGCTCCCAATATAACAAAACAAGTGCTCTCCATTGAGTAATTACAAATCTTAGACCCCATAGGCTTATTTGCGCCAGTTGTAGTTAAGCCAAAAATCTTCATGCATCACCTGTGGAAATAAAAAATGGACTGGGACGAGGAACTCCCGCTGGATCTCCAGTCATAATGGTAAAACTATCGCTCTGAACTTTATGGAAATATTTAATAATAAGGTTCCAGTCACTCAGAAGTTACACAACTTTGTGGACGCCTCAGAGAAAGCCTATGGGGCAGCAATATACGTACAAAAACAAGCAAACCTCTATAAAGCTAAAGTGTTCTAAGTCCAATTCATCCGTCGTTTTTGGTTGTGTCGCGGAACGGATAAGGGCTATCGTTATCGTAGTTAGCTAATTCAAACTAAGCGCCGAAGTCAGTGTTATATGAAGTCTGGTATTTTTAAGTTTGTGTTATTCGGCCTCACTAGAATCAGGTAAGGGAAAGCGATATTTTGGCGGATCATTTAGACCAGTGGTCGGCACGGCTCTATCCCGAGGGCATAGGAAATTTCTTTGCCGACGTCATGCTCAGAGCCTACTTTCTGCTATTCGTTACTAACACTAATGCGTTAAAATCATATCAATGTATTCGGGGACCGACCACTGATTTAGACTGATTTCCGCCATCACAGAGAGAGGGAAGAGAAACTGCGGTAGGCCAATTAAGTTACTGTAAGATTCAAGTACCTATTGTAGTTCCTTTTCAGAATAAAACACTACAACGCATCACTACGCTAACTCCAACTATTGTCCAACGTTTGTTTTAGGGCATTCCCCATGATCGGCCAAGCGGCGATACAATCTTTTATTCGCACTCTGCTAGATGATGCCCACGAAGCATTCGCCCCGGTGGAGCCCCAGGCTGGAAGCCTCGGGTGTTCCCGCAAAAGCGACCGCCATAGCCAGAGCAACTGGCACCTCGGCCAGCTTTGCGAGTGCGGCTGGTGATCGGCAGCAGCCACAGACTCCGAAGCAAAGTGGAACAGCCGCCAGGAAAGCGGCATGTAACCTGCAGCCCGAAGCAACGGGGCAGATTACGGACTCCACACCTGTACAATTTGCGGCCTTAATGGAAAAGAGCGCACGTCTCGAGTCGGAGCTGGAAAAGGCAAGGGCAAATGGAGGACAAGCATTGAAGTGAGCGGTGCGGCGAATACACCGCCATTTTTGAGTGGAATGCTGCCACGCCAGGGAGCAGCACAACAGAGTTTGAGTGAAAACTTGCCTAGGCAGATGAGTGACAATCTGCAAACGGAGCTTGGAGTTACGTCATCGTTACAGTTGCCGGCACAAATTTGTGCAAATTTGCCGCCACAATGGAGTGGAATTTGGGGCAGACGCTCGGCACACACACACCAACAACAACAGTGAGCTATTTTCCGCCATTTTGTGTGACCGCCACGGGGCAGCCTGGACTATGTTATGTTCATCCGCTACGGGAGCCGACACAAAATTTGGAGGTATCTGCACCATCGCCCCAGTAATATGGAGTGGCGACGGCGAGCATACCTGGATGGACGCCACGTAGATTGCCTGATTTTCCCGATTTCGAGGGTCAGCCAGAGGAATGGCCAATAGTTGTGTGCGCGTTCACGGAGACAACGGCAGCCTCCCAGTGCACCCAATTGGAAAATAACCAGAGGCGAGACAGTGAAGTCGCTGTTCATCCATCCCAGCAACGTAGGAGCTGTTATGGAGCAGCTTCGGTTCCGGTATGGAGATCCGGAGATACTCATCCGTAGCCAACTAGATAGCGTGCGCGATGTGCAGCGTGTGCAGATAGCGTGCGCGATGTGCAAGGTGAGCATCCTGGCAGCGTTCCTGCAGTCAACCACGATTGGCAACCAGCACCTAGGGAACCCAACCCTAATGGAGGAGCTGATCGCCAAGTTGCCGCTGAGCAAGAGGTTGGACTGGGCGAAGCACGCGGTCACGATACGGCCGTATCCGACAGTGGTGCACCTGAGCGAATGGCTTCATGAATTCGCAAGACTGGTGTGCACTGTCACGGACGCTGGAGCCAAGGAGCAACCGAAGCGAAGGATCTTGCACGCAAATAGTGTTCGCGAGGAGGAGCGGTATGCCGACTGCCCCAGATGTTGATATATGCGAGGGTCAACACCAGATCAGGGACTGCCAGGAGTTTAACAGCGCTTCTACAACGACGCGGATCGAGTCCGCGAGGAAGCTGAGGCTATGCTTCTCGTGTTTAGGACCCGGACACATGTCCCGGCTCTGCAGGAAGAGCCGCAGATGCAATGTCCATGGATGCCGAATGAGGCATCACTACCTTCTCCACGAGTCACCTGGACATCCCAGACGGCCGCCAGTCGCAGATGGAGGAAGCAGGAGAGGAATGCCACGAACAGTGGATTCTAACGAGAGGAGCCGTCCTACGTCAGCCGCAGTTATAGACGCGGGGCGTGAGCAGGATGAAAGGCTATCGACGTGCGACCGCCAGGAATTGCCGCATCGAAACCTGGGGTGCGTTGATTCGATTGGATGCCACCAACTATTCCGGATTTTACCCGTGACGCGGTACGGGGAGAATACGCAGGTCGACACCTATGCACTGCTGGATAAAGGATCGTATGTCACGCTCATCGACGACGAACTCATCCGCAGCCTGAACCTGAAGGGCGAGAGTCGCCAACTGAACGTGCAGTGGCTTGGTGGAAAATCTGCCAAAGAGCATACATAAGTGATCAGCCTGATCAGAATAATCTTCTGGAGAAGATGGTCAGCGACTATTTCGAGATAGAAAATTTCGGACTTAAGCTGGCACAGCCAAAGCAGCTGACTGAATATCGCCGCACTTCGGGGTGGAAAACCCGAACAAACTTGGGAAAATCCGGCTGGTCTTCGACGCGGCTGCCAAGGTGAACGGCGTTTCTCTCAATTCTGTGCTAATGAAAGGCCCACAGAGCTACAAGCCCCTCCCATTTTCGGGAAGGAGCAGTTGGGGTTTGTGCAGACATCAAGGAGATGTTTCATCAGGTACTTATGCAGCCATAGGACAAATGTGCCCAGAGGTTCCTGTGGAGAAGCGGAGAAGACCATCGGGAGCCGGACGTATACGAGATGCAAGTGATGACATTTGGAGCAGCTTGCTCACCATGTTCGGCGGACTACGTGAAGACCTTGAATGCCTCGCAGTACAGCAGCATGGACCCGCGAGCAGCCCTGGCTATTAAGAAATACCACTACGTGGACGACTTCGTCAACAGTTTCAGCAGAGAAGAAGAAGCTATCGCCATTTCGACACGGGTGAGAGAATTTCACGCAGATGCAGGGTTTGACTTGTGTCGATTCACTTCCAGTTCGGCAAGTGTGGTCAGAGCGTTGAACGCACTTGAATCCATCGCTAGCGTCAAATGGAACGAAGCTGGCTACAGATGGCTACTGGCAGCCGGCTACAGATGACTTCAAGTTCGGCGTCAAATATCATCGAGTTCCGAGAAGCGTGATGTGAGAGGAACGCGTCCCTACCAAGTGGAAGTTCCTAAGCCTAAGTAAAATCGAAGAGTTCCGATGTCCACGCTACTACTTCGGCGGTGGACGTGTGCGGATACTACAGCTGCACATCTTCGTGGACTCCAGTATGTCGGCGTTCGCAGCAGCGGCCTATTGGCGGGCCACTTGCGAGACGGAGACGTGCAGGTGCATTTCATAAGCTTCAAGACGAAATGCGCTTCGATGAGGACTATGTCGATCCCGCGACTGGAACTTCAAGCAGGAGTATTGGGCACAACACTGATGGACACCGTCACGCAGGAGCACAGTGTGGCGATCAGCAACTGTGTTGCACTGTGGACTCGTAGTCCGTGGACTACGATACGATGGAGAGGATCATGGACTGACGTCGATGGAGTGCGCTGAAGCTGAGTGCGCACTGGTACGGCAATCGCAGCGAGAAGCGTTTGCTGAGGATAGCCAAGGGATGGCCCTTTAAGTTTTCCGGATTGGACTATTTTGGACCGCTATTTGTGACGTCGCACGGAAAAGAGGTGGGTGGCACTATTTAAGTGTCTTATCACAAGAGCTATCCACATGGAGATGGCTCACGATTTGTCTACTGATTTCTGCATAATCCCTATAAGGAACTTCATGAGCCGACGTGGACCCGTCGTCAGGATTAAGAGCGACAAGGGAATGAACTTCGTTGGAGCCGACCGCGAGGCCAAGAGGTTCAGTGAAGTGTTCAAGCCTGAACAGATCCAGGGCGAGCTGTCGTCTAAAGGAGTCGAATGGATCTTCAATTGCCCTGGGAACCCAGCTGATGGTGGCACCTGGGAAAGGATGGTGCAGTGTGTGAAGAAGGTGCTGGCGCACACAATGAAGGAACCCGCGCCTAATAGCACGTGCTGGAGAATCTGCTGATTGAAGCGGAGAGTATAGTGAACTCTCGTTCGCTCACTCATCTACCAGTGACGGTGGACCAGGAGGCTCCACTGACACCCAACGATTTGCTGAAGGGAGCACCCGATGTCCCAGATCTTCCCAAGGATGACGGACAGGAGTCCGTGAGATGCGCTACCAGGAAGCAGTGGCGCATAGCGAGGATGATGCGGGATCGATTCTGGAAGCGATGGGTGCATGAGTACCTGCCGACTCTTTTGCGCAGGGAGAGATGGTGCAAGCACGTCGAGCCCATTCGTCGAGGAGACTTAGTGCCGAAGTCAGTATTATATGAAGTCTGGTATTTATAAGTTTATGTTATTCGGCCTCACTAGAATAAGGTAAAGGAAAGCGATATTTTATCGGATCATTTAGACCGATTTGTGCCATCATAGAGAGAGTTACTGTAAGATTTAAGTACTTATTGTAGTTCCAATTGTCCAGCGTTTGTTTGCCACGTTTGTGGCAAATTGGATAGCCAAGATTCAAAAAGTAACAGAGCAGTCTCAATGGCGCCAAGTAACATCCGCAAATAACGCAGCTGATGTATTGTCCAGAAGAACTATCGACAGCCAGCTAGCACATAATAATATTTGATTATATGGTCCTCTATTCTTGCATGGATCTAGGGAATACCGGACTTACATGCCAACCATTATTTCGACCAGCTTGGAGCAGAAGAATTCCCTCCGCGGGAATAATCCAAGTAATGGGAGCTGTAGGGATACCTCTCGCCCCCCTCCGCGGGAGCAGCTAAAGTAAAGGGAACTGTAGGGTAACCCTCGGCTTCCTCCGTGGGAATCAACAAGCTGAAGCGAAGGAAAGCCGACGGCAGCTTGCACAATATTTTAATAAATAAATATAAGAAAATGTAAGTAGGCTGTTTGTGGTCAAGCTTATTGTGCAAGAAAAATTACAAGAAAAATAAAAAGTTAAACAAATAAGAAAGATTCGCTAGTGATTACATGATTTAAAAAAAAACAAGAAAGCAAAGCTAACTTCGGGCGGAGCCGAAGTTGATATACCCTTGCAGCTAAAACCGGATATATATCGCCAACATCGGATATAGTCGGCCGATCCTTATGGGAATATGAATATATAATCCAATTTATTACAATACAAAATCTAAAAAAAGTCTCAAGCTTCTATCTTCAAAAATACCAAAGTTGGTATTTCTACCAAAAACCATTTCCGATCGTACAGTTATATGTCAGCTATAAGATATAGTCAACCGATCGTTATGAAATTTGGTAGATCGGATTAACTGACCAAAAATAGAATGTGTACCAAGTGCCAGCTTTCTATCATCAAAAACACGAAAGTTGGGTCATTTTCGATCGTTCAGTTATATGGCAGCTATAGGATATAGTCGGCCGATCCTTATGAAATTTGGCATGTCGTATTATGTTGCCAAAAAAAGCTCTCACCTAAAATTTGAACTCTCTAACTTTAAAAACACCAAAGTTATACCATTTCCGATCAGTTATATGGCAGCTATAGGATATAGTCGACCGATCCGGGCCGTTCCGACTTATATACTGCGTGCAAAGGAAAGAAGGATGAGTGCAAAGTTTCAAGACGATAGCTTTAAAACTGAGAGACTAGTTTGCGTAGAAACAGACAGACGGACAGACAGACGGACAGACAGACGGACAGACAGACGGACAGACAGACGGACAGACGGACAGACGGACATGCTCATATCAACTCAGGAGGTGATCCTGATCAAAAATATATATACTTTATAGGGGCGGAGATGTCTCCTTCACTGCGTTGCACACTTTTGACCAAAATTATAATACCCTCTGCAAGGGTATAAACATCGGCCTGAACCAGAAAAATCTATTAACCAAGAAAATTTATTAACAGAATTAAGAGATCATTTAAACGAATTTCATATTGAATCGGGACGATCCATTTTAGAAGGGGAGAGTTATCCAACCCGTAAATACAGGCCACTTATGGCTTTTATAAACAATATTTTCAATCTCTCCATTTGCCTTTGGCTTTGTCTTTGGCTCAATTATCCAACCCATAAATCCAGGCCACTTATGGCTTTCCACTTATGAATTTTATAAACAATATTTTCAAACTCTGCATTTGCCTTCGGCTTTGTCTTTGGCTCTGAGGTCCGATCTCCGTTCCCCATAAACAAATCAAATCAAAAGTAAACATCAGCTTCCCTCCGAAGTCCAATCAATTACGCCTTTTTCGTTTCAAGTACCCACCAAATTGCATCGATCAGCTTAATCGAATTTCACAATGAGATGTGACAGTTTCATCTTAAGCCTTTAATCTAAACACAACTCATGACCGAGGTTCTTTGGATAAGATTTAGAATTAAGAAGGCAGTCCTATTATGACCGAGACCGCGAACGGTTGACGGAATATATTTAAGAAAATCGAAAGTGTCTTGTAATAATTCAGTTCAATAAATAAAGGTTTAACACCAAGTTGTATAATTTGAAATAAAAATTAAATTTTTTTAATTCTCCATCTAACAACAAATTTAACTTAAATATAAGTTAACTGAAGTTAACTGAAGTTAACCGAGTAGCGGCAATGTCCCATTATTTAAGGGCTCGCTCTGGCCAAACTGCTGACACAGCGTCTGGCCGGATGCCCATACATAGCGGCGAGCACTGCATATTCCATATCATCACCTCCAGTGACGACAACCCCTTGGCAAGCGCCAGGGCTCATCTTCTCCTGGGACAATACCGCTATCAGCGAGGGATTCCCAACTACTCTATCACACCCCTACTACACCCATATTTTAATTACAGGCGCCCAACGAAAAAATCATGTAAGTAAGCACTTTTATCTAAATACCATCTATGTCTGCATAAATTTATTTATATAAAATAAAATACAAGAATAGTGAAATATTATTCCTTACACTAACAGCTAAAAAACTGCAGCCCCATTAACTTTTTCAATTGAATTAATTTCTATTAATTGACTGATGGTTTAGCGTTGACATATTTTATCTTAATATAAAATTTATAAACCATTTTTGAAAACTAATAAAATAAAATAATTACTTTCCAATATTGTTTGAATTTCTTTTTTGTGTGAATAAATAAATAAATATTACTATATAACACAAAAAGTGCAGAAAAAAATTCTTAACCAAGACGAAAGAATCGCTGGCTAAAAATTTAGTTTTCGATCCGAAGTAATTCATATAATTGTGTATATTTAATGCAGTTTTTATATGTCTTTTTTCTTACACAAGAATTTGTAGCGTGTAACGATATTTTGCGCTTTTCGAAAGGATTTGTATTTGCGAGGGCACGCTATAGAGTCCGGCTCTAGCTCGTCGGCTTTGGGGATGGAGGTCTTGCTTCATACAAATCCTAACACTGCCACATTTTAATATAAAATAAAGTCCAGAATTGAGCGTGCTGGCGACAAGATAGATAGCTAGATACAAAACCGGGAGAACGAAAGAATCAATTCGACGCCAAAGAGATAGATTTAGAAAGAGAGAGAGAGGAGAGAAGTAGAAAGTTTGCGATGCCACGATGTAGGCTCGCGTACTGCCCACCCTACCTTTGGCCACAGTCCGATAAAGCAATGCTTTAGTGACCCCTTTGAACACCCTACAACCGTGGAGTCATCAGCTCAGTTCAAACAGAAGATATTCAATTCATTATAAAATTTAATTCAGAATAAAACTAACAAAAAAATTGGCTAAGACTAATGGAGTGTTTGACATTATTCCTAAATGTTTGCTTGCATAAAAAAATAGCCTAATTGTACGAGAGGGAAACGTATATGTACGTTATAAATTTATAAAATAAAAGTTTATATATAAATGTTCAAAGAGTTATGTGTATATATAATATAATAAAATTTGGTAATAGTAAATATCAATATGAAGGTGATAAAAAGAATTTAAATGAGGGTATTAGAAAATTGATAAAAATATAAAATTCATAAGGATAGAGTATGCGTTAGTCGCCAATTAAATCATTTAAATGAAATTCGTGCTCTTATTAGTTTTGTTTGGGTTTTATGATGAAGAATGAATGAATTACATTATGAAATTAAAAAGGTAAAAATGTAAAAAGGTAAAAAGTCTGTGCAAAAGGTAAATAAATCCTTCACTGTAAGTCCATCGGAGAAAGATCGATCTCTGCTTTGGGTTGCTGTAAATGAGTTAGTGTTTTTAACACCATAGAATTTATAAAAAACTAATTTCCGCACGAGGATTAAAATAAACGATTTAAAATAAACTGGTGACCATCAAATTCGCGACGGCTTACACAGAAAAATAAATAAAAATAATCTTCATATTTTTCATAATCTCCGTTTCTTCTCACTTCACTAAATGCCTGTAATTAATGTGAATTTAAACTTAAATTTAAAAACTATTGAATAATAAAAAAAAAATTAAAAAATAATAATATCGCTCGTAATTTGGGGGATGAAATGGTGATGAAGAAAAAGAGAAAATGATCGCCATGAGTTTGGAGCTGGTCTGCTGGGCTAGCGGTTCTTAATAATTCCTCTTTGCTCAATATTCCATTGCTGATGTGGGTCAACGGCCTTTCGCTCAACGGGTCTTGGGCTGCGTTGGGTCTTCAAATTCTCTTATATCATCCCTAAAGTTAGTTTTTCCGGCCACCTAGGAGTTAAATTTCCGGCACCAATGAATTATGAGGATGAAGATGATGATGATGATGGGGATCGAGGATCGAGGATCACGGACTTACCGAATGGGGTTTAGCAGCTTCTGATCTGGGAGCCTCCACCAGGAGGGTTCCTGGGGTGCTTGATGCGGGCCGCAATAAATCTTTAAAACGGCCACAATAAGTACCCTGGATGTATTAAAAAAAATTTGCTTGAATATTCACCTGACCACTTGCGGCGGGATAAACGAAAAAATCAAAAAAAAAATCTGCCGGCGCTTTTATAAGGCCGCGACAAACCAAGGAACTCCGATTAGGCTGTCCCTTTCGCACTTCCTTTCGCTAGCGCTCACGTTTGGTTCACTGGCGTCAACTCTAGATAAGCGTATGCCAAAAAAATAAAAAATTAATATAACCGACACATCCGAATGTTCGGAGACTTACGTGGTTATATTAAAATAAAACACTGCACTTGTGGGAGGCGGCTCTTACACGCCGATAAAATTATTAGCTCGCGGAGAGTAATTCCAAAGTGCGTCTGCACTAATTGACGATTTCAAAGGAAAAGCCCGAAGACGGATAAGCGATAGGGTTACAGGAAATGAAAACAGCTGATATTGCAGCTTTTCTAAGCCTCCCTGATGCAACTGATTATACACCTCAGAAAATGGGCA